CTAAAAGTGACCCGATCATGCTGATTTTCGAACTTGACCTGCGTATTATGAATATTCATCAGTTCTGTAAGTTTCAAGTCAAAAGGTAAAATGGTTTTCCACTTATCGTGTTATCGGTGCTGCATATATGCTGAAAAAAGTGAAAAAACAGCATAAATTCTCTAAAAGTGACCCGATCATGCTGATTTTCGAACTTGACCTGCGTATTATGAATATTCATCAGTTCTGCAAGTTTCAAGTCAAAAGGTAAAATGGTTTTCCACTTATCGTGTTATCGGTAAAAGTGCACGGCGACGGCGACGATGGCGACAGCGACGACGGCGACGGCGACGACAGACGCAGATGATGGCTATATGTACAGACACATCTGTGTCTGTACATAAAAAAAACTGACAAATATATTTTGTGAAATTGGTAATGATATATGTTATTCCAAAGTAGATAAAGATATAATAGGGTTTTCAAGGGGAAAGTTTTATCACCATATCTTAAGAATGAGGTCTTAAGATAATAAGATATGCATGTAATATAAAGCATATATAAGAAGAAACAAAATCTACAGAGACAAAGATGTGACAAGAAAACACATGACCCAAAACTTAAATTCAACCAAAACATTAGGTTATTAAATTATATGTTACTTGGCAATTTACCACAATGTCACGCTTACTACTATTCCACCCCACCCAAATATTAGCAGTATATAATTATTCTGATACCTGAGCATAAAGTGGGACAAAGAAAACAGGTCTACTGTCTTTAAATCATACTTAAACTTTCTTTTAAACGAGATATTCAGATGATATGGAGCAATACCAATTTTACCTCTAATTCTTTCTCTCTGGTCTTGAGGGAGGCATCCCTCTCTCTGATCATTTCTTTCAGCTGGCTTATCAGGCCATTCTGCTGGTCAAGCTGGTCCTGCAGTTCTGAGGCTGCCACTGAGGTATCCTGCCCCTCACCTCCCTGGGGCTGAAACACAGTGGAGAACTTTACTGCTTTACTGGTCCAGGAGTCATTGTAACAAAGTTAAACCCCCTCATATTCAGATGTATAAACAATGTTACATGGAAATGCTTCTAAATAATTTGTAGTTCAAATTGCTGTACATACTTTATCATAAAGGTTTTTTCATACATTTATATGCAAGGACATGAAGGGTACATACTGAACATGCATACAACATGCACATACCAATATAAATTTTTATTGACCAAAGAAAAATTCAAGCTCAATATTACACATTTTCATTGCATTCATCTAAAAAAAAAAAGATTAAAAACGTATGCATTTACATCTATTTCATATTGAATCTCACATCTCATCATTTTCCCATCAGAAACCACAAACCTGTCCTGCCATCGCTACAATATGATGTATCTATAAACAACATGCAGGTAATATCATGCATTATTTACTTCACTGATTAACCACAAGTTAAGATTATGAGCAGTAAACTGGGCAAAAGAATTATATAATTTTATTGCTATAAATAAACCTTTGTTTTGTTATTGATTTGCATTTAAATGTGCCACACTTCTACACTGAATCAAGACTGTAAAACCATGGTGATACAGACTTGATTTAATCTGCACTTGTCTTGACTGGCTCATATAGAGCGTTCACTGAACCTGGTAAATATTTAAATAGACCTATCCTGGCATTAGCTGTCAACAACAAACGCAGAGGATCAGAATGGCAGGAGTTGGCAATGAAGTCAAATGTGTCTCAGCTAAAAGAAATCTTTGGAAAAATTGACTTCAAAATCTTCTTTTGCATATATGTCAAGATTTGAAATGGCAAAAACTATTATAACTGAGAATAAAGGGGAAGAAAACAAAACATGACCAAAATCTTATTCTCTTAGGTATTTTCCACTTGTATATCACTGTCTTTATCTATAAAGTTTTAAAATTCCTTTATCTCTTAGGTTTTTAAATTCCTTAAGCATAACATTATAATTTAATCCATGAACACCCAGTAAGCACAGTATGTATTTATATGGTAGTCCTGGTACAAGAGTGTTAATATGCCAGGTATTTCACATACAGTTGTCTCACCTGGGGCATGTCACATGACCCTGTAGACATCCAGGTGATGCTACTAGATATTTTCTTATCATGTTAAAGAAATGCCAAAAGCATTCCATGTTAATATAGCTTTAAAAGCACGTCAGTTAAAATGTATGTTTTTTCTGAAAGTGGGTTTTATTTCAGGTGACAGTTTAGATCCCCAACAACAGTTGATTACATATAAACGTTGTTAGAGATATTTCCTTTTTGCTTTTCTTGCATCATGAAGAGACTATGATTAATCCACAGACACATATTTTATCAAAAAGAAAAACTGCAAATGTTTCTTTGACTAAATTTACCAAATTATAAATGCAGTAATCAATCACTGCCATTCACTCAGCACATACCAGGAGTGAGCCCAAAGTTGGCAGTTTGTCAATATAGTTCATAGCTTCAATCTGTAAGCTAAGGGCAATGAACTCTCACATTACATTATTTACCCACACACTGATGTCAACAACTGACTGTTGGCATCTCTATTTTGGCATGACAAGTCTGCTAAACCATTCACAGGGGCGGATCCACAGATATTTTCTGACAGTCTTCCAAATTATCTTTGCTACCATCCTCCATTTCTGACTGTCTTCCGTCAGAAAAAAATAGATACCTGTCAATGTAAACTTAAAAATCTGACTGTCTTTCGGAAGACCCAGAAGACAACCTAAATCCGCCCCTGATTCACATCTTGCAGGCCTGAAGACAAAGCGGATGCTACAGTACAGGGAGCTCCACTCTGAATTAAAATTTGATCTATGCCATTTTTTAGGTTGGATCAACTAACTCCACCCCACCCCCCCTTGAAACTGCTTGCAAGCCTGTCTTGTGTGTACTACATTTTATTGTAAATTTCATTAAGATTGTAAAATGCAGCCAAACAACAAAATAGGATGATAGTTATCAGCTATATAGAAAGGTGATATCTACTACTCCTGGGAAAAGGTAGAAGAGTGGGGAGAGGGGGAGATAGAGCAGCAGAATGGGGAAGTGGAATGTCATATGTATCTACTCTACTTTATACTCTAGAGAAGGTTAAAATTATAACTCATACTGTCTACCTTTAGTTGATGAAAACTCAACAATAGTTTCCAAGTGTGTATTCACATTCGAAATATCAAAGCAGGTTCTGTATATAACTAGTAAATATCACAGAGAGTAAAAATAATTACTGACAACATGACAGTGTGGGCAGTCTAAGCTTACAATGCTGATGTCGCTGGAGCTCCTCCATCTATCCAGCTCCTTTGAAATTTTCACCCCTTTATTTCTCGTCCCTTCCTATTCTCTGCCCCCCCCCCCTCTCTGTTCATCACTCTCTCTCTTCTCTTCTCTTCTCTCTCTCTCTCAACTGTCTCATCCCTTCTGTCCTCCATGCCTTCACTCTCTCTTTTAGTCTCTTCTTCTCTCTTTTTCAGCCTCTCCCTCTTCTCTCTTCCATCTCTTCTCCCTCCTGTCCCCTCTCTCTCTTTACTTCCTACCGTCCCCTCTCCACCTCACAAACAGTTCCCCTGCACCCAATGTTACTCACCTGAGGCTGTTCCTCGGGGTAGGCCCCCTGTACAGCCTGAGAAAGACGACTCCACATGGTTCACCAGGATTTAACACACTAGACATGTAGTACTCTGCAACACATGGTGTATCTGAAAGTGAAAGTACAGACAGAGATGAGGTTGCCATTCAGTGAAAAATTCAGATAAATATGGCATGAGGTCCAGGGGGCCACCTGGGATAATGATATTTTGGGCTCCCAAAAAAAATCTGCAAATAGTCGGACATATGCATGTCATCCCCAGGGGTGGATTGAGGGGTCTTCCAGAAGACAGTCAGACATTCAAGTTTACACTGACGGTGTCTATTTTTTCTGTCAGTTGGAAGATGGTCAAAAATGGAGGATGGATCAACAAAGATAATTTAGAAGACTGTCAGAAAATATCCCTGGATCCGTCCCTGATCTCTATATAGATCTTTCCTTTAGAGTAGCTACTCCTAGAACTGCTTCTAATACCAAACTGCGACCTTCTTACTGTACATACTAAGTATCCATATTTACTGAATTAAAATACATATAAATTCACACACACACACACTTCTTCTTATAAAACACACAGTATTTAAAACAATATTAAAAGGTGGCTACATCCCCTTCATAAGACACTAATTGGGGGGGTAGCACGAAAATTCATGCGTTAACACTTCTATATTGACGATTCTGTTATGTACTGTCTGTGCTAACGCATGAATTTTCGTGCTAATTGGGGGGGGTTATATATATATTTACTAGAACTATAATACCGAATTAAATACATTGATAAGCTCCAAGTACATAATTAGACACCACACTTTTAAGTCATTAGAATGAAGTAAATGTTAATAAACACCAATTTATTTTTTATTTTTTTTTTTTTTTTTTTTAACTTAAAAGGAACACAAGCCTTATCATAAATGTATTCATTTTTTTAAATTAAAATATATTGGTGCATCACACTTCAAACACCACGGTTATGCAAGGGCAATATCTTACTGGGCAAAAAGCATTTGTGGGCAGATTATGTTGTTCAGTGCTTCACAGTGTTGAAGCGGAGCGGAATATAGAATTTCTCTTAGTAAAATTACGACAGGTGCGTGATGTAGGGGACACGGCAGACACACATAAGGTACTCAAGTTGCATTAGTGTTTTAGTTCTATAAATATCATATCACAAGCAATAATGATTCAAGCTATATAAAACACCTACATTTGTTAAAGTAATGCACTGAAATAATCCTAGCCCAATCCTGTAAAAAGATTTCAAAGAAAAAGTTGTTGGAAGCAGGTCCCAGCCTTCCACGTCGTCGCCATTACTTCTCGTCAATTCACGCGTGAACTTCTCTGGCCTTGACTTGGTCCATTTGGGAGTAGTCGCGTGCCGAGATTTATCTCCGGATAGCGTGCGTCAGGTGCATGGCCTTTCTTCAACTTTAAAGCTGTCGTAATGACTATGTACGTCTGAATGAAATTTTGGAAAACAAAATACTTTTCATTATTGTTAAAATGAACACACATCGTTCGATAAGATTGCAAAAAAATTGAGGAGGCGTTAGTTTTAATTTTAAATAGACCTAATTAAATAGCCTAATTAAGTAGACCTACTGGTAAATAGGCTAGGTACATAATAACAATAAGAAGAAGAAGAAGAAGAAAAGATAGGTATATAAATAAATATTGAAATATTAATAATAGATATTATAAAAGAAATAATAAGCAAATTGATAGGCCCAATATATGAAAATAAGGCCAAATCTGCCAAATAAATAATAATAACATTTATTAATTAAAAGGCCCTACTTGCATTTTAGTGCTGTTTACAGAAAAAAACAATGAAGGTGAACACAACTTAATACGCTAGGGCTTTAAATAAAAGTATATATTATTAAAAGACGGAGCCTAAAATGAAGTGTTCATGATGATAAGTGATTAAAAGGAGCCTACATGCATTATAAAAAGTTGCATTTTATGAACTCAGAAGAATTTCCAAGTAAAATGTAAAGTTAGTTAAAATAATGTTAACGTCAGCCTCGGTTCTGATATAAATTGACGGCTTAATCCATAGGGTGGATTGATAACATGAACGAGTGGTCAGTGGTAGGCTAGTATAGTACAGTAGTTCTAGTAGCAAGCTGAGGTGGCTGTATCATGGCGCAAAAATAATGTGGACTTACAGCTCTGGCATGCTTAAAATCTTATTATGTCCCAATAAAATTAACAGTAAATTTAAGAAATAAATTTCTGGCAAAATGGGAGAAAGTCTAATTCTTTAAAAATAGGCTACATGTAGGCCTAAATAAAAGAAAGTAGATAGGCCTATAACATTTATTTAGCATAAGATCTAGGTCTAAGTATGGTTATGGCATTGGATGGTTTTATTGTTAAATGGTAGTAATTGGTTTCAGTGGATCCGGAGGCATTTTAAAGTAGTGCCTAGAGCTACAGTGTATAGAACTATAGTCGGCCCCTCTCTGCTCTTAATAAATCTGACAACATTTCCTTTGGTGTAATGCGTGAAATGTGACGCATGGAAGATGTTTATTGCAAAGTAAAACGTGAAAAGACGCTTTTATAAAGAAAAGAGTAGTATACAATACAATATTTGTGACGTGATCGAGAAATGGAATCAAAAATTTGTTCGGGATAAGAACACATTTTGGAGGTCAGTTTTGTGGATCAGAAAAAGGAATTTTATCAGCTGTGTTATGTTACAAGAATAAAGTAATTTTTTCTTCAATCAGCAGCTTAATATTATATATCAAATT